GTACTTCTAGTTCATCTCGCAATTTTCCAAGCTGTTCGAGGAGTTGTGATAAGTTTTGTTTCTTGACCGTCAAGTTTTCTTTTACCTCCACTGTCGCAGCTCGCACCTCTTCTTCATGTCCTTAAACTCGTAGCAGTACATAAAGTAGATCATTCTAGCTCTAGCCCGACCTTTCAAAACCTTCTTCGGCAGTATCATCACCAATTCTTTCTCTGACGTTTCATCGCTGTCTTCTTTACTTTTCTAAAATCCCAACAATGCAGACGAACACCGAATTGAAATATGTCCATTTTATTTCACTTATAAGTTAATTATGCATAATTTATATATAACGTTTGCTGCTTTAGATGTTAAAGTATATCCCTGATATCACATAGTCAAATACCGCAATAAAGCCCAGATCTTCAGCGTCTTTCAGCAGAAGCTGTTCCGTTCGATGCAAGACGACTAACTCGGTATTTAAGTCGTTCAGCTCTGCCTTCTTCTTTCGATACTCATTACTTTTCACTCGCATATCGTTAACATAAGTTTTGAACTAAACCAAATGTAGTCATTTTCCATTTTGAATAAGTCGTGGTAAAGTTCAAAAAAATGAACATGATGTACCTCTACGGAGGTGACGAGTCCAACTGAGCCTTCTCTAGCCGTGATTTCTTTCTTTCTCTGAACAAGTTGGGTTTTCCCCGTTTCAAGCTGCTGCTTCAGCGTCTCGAGTGTTTCAACGGCTTTTTCCTTTTGATTTCTGATTAATTCTGCCTAAACATGGTAAACTGATAAATAGAATGAGGAATTTCAGAGGTGGATAAAGATTATAAATTTTCCCGGAGTAAAGTAGTGCAGCAATCAACTGGATTGTGTTGATTGGCGTAATTGTCACTGACTCATTGGACAGTTAATATCTATCATGAAGAGGTCACTTTCAATAGCCCGAACCCCTCGGTAACTAGGAACAAAGGGGATTATGCAATACACCATGAAAATCTGGTCTTCGAAGAGTTATGCATTATCTGCCACATTCAGGCGTACAAAGATATCCTGGTACTTATGCGGTACTATCATTAATGAGTGCGACAGCTGTAGGAAACAAAATTATGCCAAACGAATCAACCCTGCAGCTACTGAAATGCCATGGAGTTATTTTCTGCTCAAGTGTCTCTGAGGCAACTGGGAGCGAGGAGTTGTGTCACATGCACGTTTTAGGATATGCCTTTGGATGGGCGATGAGCTACATCATGAAAATGAGCCAATTAACTACCGTAAAATGGGCAGAAAATGTAATTAAAAAAGTGTAAGCCGTCTCTTCCCAAAGAACAAGTAAAGGATTTATATATCTTGCATAAACTTCATTATTATCGTTCTGTCCATCGGTCATTTAAATTCTCCCTACTTTACCCTTTCCTACCAGGTCTACCTCCAGTTTGCAATTCAGAGATCCGCTGCCATACGCGATGAGGCCAAATCGGTTGCAATATTGGATAAGGTTACGTATCCGTGTGAAAGAGAGTGGAAAACAAATGGACTAGGTCAAAAGTCTAAGTATTTCGAAGCAGCACTCACTATTGATCAGCCCTGATCGACCTGGCAGTCACATTAATGCATGAGTTAAATAGATCTCTAATGTGAGGCTATCGATTATAAAGTTTTATGTAAGCATCCGCCATTAAGCATGGTCCACGCGATGAATAATGACTAAAAGATATGATTACTGGATTTAACGTGCCGTGAGGTGAATATTTTAAAGGGCACTTTGCAACGTACATGCTTAGTTACTCTCAATTAATGAAAGTTTTTTCTCTTGATTCAGAAATGACCATTGGTAAGGAAAGAAATGATGGCTTGGTAAGTCATCTGGAAGCCAGAGGAGAAACTCGAAAACAGGCTCTTTTCTCCCTTTCGTTTTCAGCCAGTGGCCAGAGAGATCGAACACTATAAATGACAATTTGGAATCAACCCACAGGGTTTGTTGGTGGTGAAGAACCATCGAGCAACTGGTAAAATTTCCAAGCTAGTCTCCCACAACCTTAAGCAAACTGTGGAGTTTGCAAATCGATGGAAATTACTGTTTTACAAACTATGTACTACAGTTTATTAAAGGCACTCTTCTTTGAATTCATTATTTATTAGTAACTTTAATATTAAATTAGAATACTATCTTTGCTGAAAATTTTATTTTTTATTTTATGATACTTGCTGCAGGAAGTCCGCGAGTTTCTGGTCGGTTTCGCTTTCGCCGCTTCGCTTCCTTGCTTCAAGACTTTGAACTTTTT